CAAATCACGAAGACGCTAATAATCGTATCTTATTGCACATATTGTCAGCCAAAAATTCGGGGCATTCACGCTGCATTATTTATTGCAACGATACAGATGTCTTATTAATTTATTTTAAGAAGTTTTTGACTGAAGATATATGGTTCAGAACAGGGCGAGGAGACTCAAAACGATTTCTAGCAGTACATTATTTAAATTTGGATGAAAACCTTCTAAAAAATGTGCCTGCTTTTCATTCTCTGAGCGGTTGTAATACAACCAGCTAATTGTCCAGCATTGGGAAAAGAACCTGTTGGAAAACTTACCTTTAACAACATTACTTTTTGGATGGATTTGGCATTGATCAGTACTCTGAAAACATATTCTCTAATCTTGAAAGAATTTTCATAAAAATTTATTCAAAACTGCCAATGTTACTTCCATTAACATTTTGGGGGGATTATTGGCCTCTTCAAAAACCATCGCTTAATTGCCACCGACTGAAGACGCCCTAAGACTACATTGTTTAAGATGTTTTTACCAGCTAAATATTTGGCTAACCTCTTTAAACCCAGATGCAGCTTCCTAATGTTGAAGAGTATGGATGGAAAGTAGATCAAGATGGAAGTCTGATACCCACTTTTAAGACTCTGTCCGACCTGCCACCAGACATAACAGAACTTACATCATGCAAATGCAAAAAAGATACTATACAATATTCTAACAATAATATTCTGTTTTAGACTGTGGAAGCAAAATTTGCAAATGCAGAAAAAAAATATTTGCTGTATCGGTTCCTGCACCTGTATGGCACAGCCGCTAATGTTTTGGAAAATGTTGATTCGTGTGGTGAATCTGATTCTGATTAGTTTGAAAGTCGTGTAATTATAAATTTTAATATTATTAATTTATGCTTTATATACTTCCTTCCAATTATTATTATTATTATTATTATAATTTATTTATATTGGGGATTTATTGTATTTTGCAAAGCAATAGCCTTACTGTTTATAATTGATACTTCAATAAATACCTTTAATAAATAGTTTATATTTTCTTATTTTTCATTTTCCACCAAAAATAAAAAAAAATCTTGAAGTAATTAATACACCCTATTATTCATAGTGGAAAAATCAATAATCCCTGTATAAAATAATGTTAGAGATTCAAACTGATTGCATACATTTCAATACTGAGATAGATGCATAAAGAGTCGAGAGGCTCTGCCTTTAATGTTTGCTTTCTAGTAAAACCATGACATCACTAATTGTTTATTGCTATATTTTTGTTAATTTAAAAGCAAAAAATATGACGAAAGTACTTTTACCTTGTCAATATATAGGCGAAACTTTTATAAAGAATAGTTGTTTTTCATTTATGCCTTCGTTTTTCGTCAAATGAGAAGTATATTTCTAAAAGAACATTTTTTATACAAATTTGTAGACGGTTGAAACCGAGATATTGAGGTTTAAATTTTTTTTTCGACCATAAGGGCTAATGTAAATGATTTTAAATAATTATAAAAAAATACTTTCTACAAAGACCTAATTGAGCATTAGAACAAAAAATAGCCATTTTTAACCAAATTAGATGTAATTTCATTAAATTAGATGTAATAATTTTCAACAAATTCCAAAACCTAGAGATGTTAAATTGGAAGTGGCAACAGGGCTTACACCGGCATGGAAATTTACGTTATGTAGTATAAGCTCGGGCAGTTATTCATTGATAATACTACGTAAAATCCTTCACTCTATCCCTTCTCTTACTTCTCACCTTTCGTCGCCTCGCCCCGCGTCTAGAAATAGAATATATACAGTACTAACTATTGTTGGCACCATGAATATTATATTTTATGAATGACTGCTCATATCTCTGTTATCTCTGCGCAGTACCATGGTGTTGCAGATATGCAGAGTTGTTCACAGAGTTTGTTGGCCAGTGGATGTGGCTGAAGTAATTCATGGGTTTAGTGAAATGGCTGGAATGCCCCTTGTGTGTGGAGCAGTGGACGGGACTTTCATTAACATTGATGCTCCAAGTCAATATGAGCCTGGTTTTGTGGATCGTCATGGTAATCATTCATTAAACGTGATGCTTGTATGTGGTCTATGCCTATTGGCCTGGTAGCGTAAGCGATGCACGAGTTTGGAGGCGAAGTACACTTAGCATCAGAATGGAAGATGGTTGGAGACCTTTTCCAAATGCCGTACTGTTAGGTGATTCAATTTATCCTTTAAAGCCTTGACTTATACTACCTGTACTTCGTAATGCAGAAAATCCTGCTCAACAAAGATTTTTAAGAGCACACAAAAGTACAAGGCGAGTTATTGAATGTGCCATTGGTATTTTGAAAGAAAAATTTCCATGCCTCAGCCATTTAAGATTAAAACCTAGATTTGCCTGCGAAATAATGAAATGTTGCGTTGTATGTCTGCAATTTAACAAAAGTAGATGTTGAGAGGTATAATAATAGATAAAAAAATGATATTAACATTGATATGGTAGACGACGGCGAACAATTAGCTAGAGAAGTAGGTGGCGAGGAAACATTACATTACTTGTATAATCACTTTCGCAATGCCTCAAATAATATCTATAAATGTAAAGAAAACATTTTATTTTTCAACATAGTGAAAAATTTATTTTGTATATATTTTTTGTTTTGCAAAATAATAAATAGGTAGACATTTGAAAAGTAGCTACTTACTAAACATACGTTTTATTATAATGCTTTTAAAGATATTAAAATATCATTATTTTTTTTTTTTTAACACAAATAAACTGCCCTTCGTCATAATCAGTAGAATTTACAATCATACCCTGTCCCAGTTTTGTTTTGCAACCATTGATATAGTTGAAGGATTCAATATTCATAGTATGAACAAAATGTTTAACATTAAGTGAGCATTCTTTTTTCCAAACTTCCAGTTCCAACTTCCGAACCTCAAGCTGAAGTTTCTTTATTTTAAGAGGTTGAATGTTCTTAGCATCATCTAGTTGATGAACGATAACTCTTTTCTTACCTACAAAAATAATATATTTAATCATCTGAATAAGAAACTAGGTTGACTTGTTTTGAAATAATTTTAGTCACTTTATAGTCTTACCTCTACATGAACTTTGTTGAAGCAAGCACTTACTTTTTGTGGTACCATTATCATCGTTTTCATTGGACATAGAATAACTAAAGTCCTCGGTAATGTCTTTAACTTCGGAAACAGTTTCCATTGAATCGGGTACGCCAATTCCTTGAACAACAGGAGATTCTTTTCCAATTATTTCTATCACTAGTCTATCAATTTCATCTAATTTTGATTCGGGACCTTCTTGTTCACCAGTTTTATTTGATTGGTCAATTTTTGTCTGTAATCAAATAAAAATCTTTTATGTGCTGTACAAGTGAGGACGGCTCAATAGTAAAATTAAGAACTATTAGCATTAATTACACAGAATGCAAAAAATATTTTTAAAATTGTCCAAATACCTGATTTACAGTGTATTTTTTAGTGCTGATTTCAAGAACAAAATTCATTTTTTCGGCCACCTCAGAATATCTCACAAGAATGGTGTATTTTGGGTAAAAAACTAAATTTTAATAAGCAGATAAAAGATGGCATGGTTTACATATTATACACAACAGAATATTGAAAAAATGCATAACTATAAAGGCCAAAGTGCTTGCAAAATATAACAACTTCCACACCTGTAATTTTAAACCAATCAAAATACGTGTTTTTGACAGATCACCATGGCAACGGAGGTATTTTAGTGGAAATTTTTTTCTCGTGGGGTACCCAACAGCGAATTATACTGGAAATTTTTTGACGTTTACAATAACAGACCATTTTTGACAGACTGGTTTTTATTTGTTCACATAATAGGTTTAGTTTTGATACATTTTAGTTACAATGCTAAGGTGTTTTCTATATTCTTCGGCCACTTCTTTTCTTCTTAATGGCGAAAATGCAGGACTTTGGATGCTTTGAATTATGTGTCTATGTCTAATAAAATATATATAATATTTAGACACTAATTTATTCACCTTTTTCCCATTCAGCACTTTGAATTTTGCGTAGTTTAGGAGCATATATTCGTGGACAATTCGGAACAAATTTTCGTTTTTCGAGTTGGAGCCACAATCCTCTATTAATCCGAGTAAGTAAGTCATGGTGCAATGATTGATCATTACATCAGACAATTTCACGCATATTTTGCATAGCGTATGATTTTCAAATCGATTCATTTTTAAACAAATAGGTAATTTTGTTGGTTTTACTTGCTGTGCAATATTCTTTATCGCAACAAAACGCGAGTTATTTAATGTTTTGAACTGTCAAAATACAATGATCACAGCCTCCTACGATTGATGCTTGCTGACGCTGGTTATGAATTTCATACCATTTTAAAGCGCTCATAACGCATGTTAATAAAAACGCAGAAAAACAATATTCTACCACTTGTAGTTATTCAAAACTTACGTAAAATTAAAGAATATACTATTTTCTATTTTCAAATGGTATTCCCATGCAACTACAATGAGTAGAAATAAGCAATTTGAAGGCCTAAATAATTGCAGCGAAACATTTTTTTACGTCGGGCCGCTTGAAAACTTCAAAACTAAAATTATATTCGAGGTTAGGGTCTCACTTAGTTACCATGACAAATCAACAATCAAGGCGATAACACCTTTTATGTTTCACTGGTGACTTGGAGAAAATAATTTGCATAGTTGAGAAACGAAAAATAAATTTTAAAAATATTTAATTTTCAACCATAATTCGGCGTGGAATTTTCTTACCGAATACCACGCGAGGTCAAATTAATATCAGGAAATTTTTTGACCTCTAGTGGTATTACTAGTGAATATTTTTAAATATTTTTCCATAATCAGCACTGTAACGGCCCACCCCCTGTCCCCCTTTTTTTGTTCGTTATTTTACTTTACTTTTAAATATTTTAAAATATTTTAGAAATTAATAATGTCTATATTTACTGAAAAATTCTTTACTCATTTTTAGGAACAGGTATTTAAATTGTATCCTGCCTATTTTACTAATAAACCAAAGGCCGATGCTTGTAGAAATGCTTTTGATCCAATTATTAAGGTAAAGTATCTTTAACAATAATTACTACTCTTGAATTATGAGTTGTTTCACATCCAAGTATTTATACAGATTGTTTGAGACAGAGTACACTAGCCAGTCTCTTAAAATTTGCTCTCCATTACTTAAAATTCTTTTATAATAATTGGGACTAAATTTTCTACCAATCTCATCGTATGGAAATCTATAATTGAATCGGTGAGTGAAAGAACAATACAAGTGCCAAAAATGGCAATTTTAACTGAGATAGGCAAATTGTTTAAATTTCATAGGCCTATCATATAGCGAAAGAATAATACACCGAACAACATCGTACGAGCCATGGGAGCTAGTTCAATTTTCGGCTGAGTGAAAGAACAGTACACGTGCGGCACATGTACTGTTTTTTCCTCAGTCGCCATGTCGTTTCGTAGACAAATTTGACTGATTTCAAAAACTGGTGGTAACAATTTCATAAAAAACGACCAAATCAGTTGATGAACAAAAAGCTAAATTTGTCAGTTCACACTAGTGAAACTCCTGGGTATGTTACTACAAGTGCCTTTATAGGTGGTTTTTTCTCGCACACTTTTAAATTGATCAAACCTAATGCCAACCCGCAATTACCCTTATGGTGAGCAAACACGCTACGATCTACCGCAGAGGTCTGCCTGTGCACGTGTGCCTGCACGCCCTGCACGGGTCACAATATTATCCCCTATAGTAGTGCATCTCACTTGTTAAAGAGTTGGCACTAAGTTTGCAGCGCAAAAATGCCTATGCGTCTGGCCGCTCAACTAACTCGATATGGCGGTAAATTCAAATATAATTTTAAGGCGAAATTTAAATTTCCCGCTAAAATCGCAAATTTCCAGCCGCGGAATGGCGGGAATTTTTAAATATATTCATTCGGCAATAATTATTGAGAAGTATATTGCATGTTCGATTAAACGAGCTGTAAATCCAGGCGCTATTTTTATTTTGATAGCTAAAAATAATACTAATTCTTTTATTATTAGCTATTACAATAAGAGCAGCATTTGGATTAACAGCACATTTAAAAGAACATGTAATATACTTTTCAATTTTACCTAAATCACTTATTTTTTACCTATAGAGGTTAGATCTGAAAAAAAAATTGGCTCTGGTAAAAAAAACAAAAAATTGTATAAAGTATTTTATTTGAAAAATTATAAAACTTATTTAATATATTTTAAAGACGAAGATAACTCTAGCCATATCCATTTTACTGAAAAAAAAAAGAAACTATTAAATGAAATCATTTAGTTATTAAGAGATGTTTGTGATAATACAGTGACAGCTATCGAATGTTGTACAATACGTTTTGCTAATGTCCAAGTAAAAACTACAAAGAGTTAGCATTAGTGGGAGAAGGAATAGAATACTATCAGAGACAATCCAGCGAGACGTGTAACTCAATGTATTTTTTTTGTTCGGTAAAAGTTATTTGGGCGATTGTAACCACAACCAGTCTATGATGGCGCCACTAGTAAATAGCGGGAAAATTAAAAATGCTTTAGGGCGGGAAATTCAAACATGGATTCAGAAATAAATAGTTTTTCTATACAAATTTACAGAAGAAACAAAAACTATTGTTTCACTGTATATTAAAAAAACATAAAAGCTTCCAATAACATCAAATTTTTTATCACATAAATAATCATTTTAATAAAGGAAGTTTTAATCAGTTTAATATAAACAGTGAACATAGTTTTTATTACTCTTGTAAATTTCGCTAAAAAAAACTTGAAAATTCTATTGATTATTAAATATTTAAACTTGGAAAAATAATACACCACTCTTTTTCTATAAATTATATTTTTGTAAGGTACAGAAAAACAAACTACAATTGCTTCATTTAGAAAGTACCTCGTATCATTTTGTGACAAATTACAAAGAAAGTAACAGTTGTTATATATTCATAATATATTTAAAAACTAATGTAACAAATATTTTATAAAATAGACTATCATAAGTGCCATTTGAACAAATGTCACTTATGTTAGTCTGGCAAAAAGATATGGATATGTTATGACTGTTTATTTTAATAGAAACCATGGAAACGAAACACACATACACTCAACACAAATGTATAAGGTCCGAGTCAAGTAAGTTCCCATCCTGTAAACTGGATCGAAACCTGCTAGACCCCTGCTAACTCCTCTTATAGTAATCAAGATCAATAGATTTATATGCCATGCCTTCTAAAAGGGAATGAAGGATGACATACTATCATCATTTAAATAGGACGTTGCTGAAGGCTTACCCCTGTTATTTCGTTTGTTTGTGTATCTTGTGTGTGTGCATTCCTGTTGTGTCCCCAGTCATGTAAAAGTTTTCCTAGTCTCCTAATTTGGTTACTAGGTGGACCTTCTCCAACTAGTAGTCTAATCTATTCGATCTGTTCAGAAACAGGAGGTACTTTTCAAACATAGCAAATAATATTATTAATAATAAACACTATTTAAAGATAAATACATTTTTGTAATTGCCCCTTACCTTTCTCTTACACCACCAGGGTATACCTATTTTCCATATTCCCTTAATTATAGATTATCTTACAATGTTCGAATGAATATACATGAAAAATCTAATTTCATATTTAAATCTTTTTCAATTTCATTTGAAACAATAATTGGTACCTATATTACAATTTATTATCAAAGAAAATTTCTAATAAAGTTATAGCAAATCCTACTTAAACTACTGGTTGTTCTGCAGGATAAATTAACTTTTCTTGAGATTGATCTCTCTATAAAATCCAAAACCGACCCGATGTCCCCAAATTTATTTTCCAATGCATCCTGATTTAAAATTCTGCCCTTTTGTGATTCAATTTTTTTTTCTTCCTTTAGAGTGGCTGTTAGAGGTAGGTGTATGTAAGAAATAGCTAATCTTTAATAATTTCAAAAGTCCTTTGCCAATACTACATGTGCAGATTTTTTACTCAGCATACATTTTACGCTTCTAGTAGATAGGAACTTTGTGCTGCCATTAAAGCTGTCCAGACATTCATCTACCTACTTAATGAACACAAGTAGCTGTAACAATGGATCTCTGTTCCAATTCACCTAAAATAATTATAGTCATTGTGTAATATATTATTAAACACACACATTATACAGTGGTTTTCTTAATAAATTGGAAATTACTTACCTCTAGAAAGAAATGTGTACAAAAACGCGAGTTTGGTTCCAGAAATTGCTTCATGCAAAAAATAATATGCAAAAATAAACATTCCCCCCCAAAGAAAATTAATTAAACAACAAAATCAGACTAAAAGAAATATACGGGGCCCAAATTAAATTAATTTTAATAAAATGCACATGTTCATAACAACATTCATAACATTGTCAGTTTTAATACTTTTAATCGATATTTCGACGTCAAAAAACCAGCAACACCAGCGCCCTCTGAAAATGGTGTTAGTTTTATTGAAGAGAGATAGACATATGTAAAGATCAATGTAAAAGAAAAAGAGAGTCATATATGTAATTTAAATGGACCACCGAACATATTTTCCTATTAAGGTAGAACTCAGACAGAATAGGTCGTCCACGATCAAGCACGGTCAACCAAGGACAATCACATGACTCCTCGACCGTTTTAAAAGAGTGAATTCACACAGCGTCGATCGATTTGATCCGACCAAAACAAAAATGGTTCTCTATTTTAAAATTTTAATTATTGCTTGTAATGGAAATTAACAGTTGATGCTTCAATTAAATATTTGTTAATTAATATTAAATCAATAGACATTTATATTAAAAAAAAAATATGAGTTTTCTGATATATATTTATATACAGTTATTCAAAATAGATCATAATAATAATATAAATATTAACCTTCGGCCATTTTTTAACATATATCTATTTTATAACGTATTTAAATTCTTTATAACCTAACTTTTGATCGTCCACCATCGAGCGATCAACCAAATTTCAAACAAACTCGAAAAGTGAAATTGCTTGGTCGAGGACGGTTGATGACGGTGGCGCTCGATCGGCTTAGTGTGAGGTTTGCCATAAGCTTACGCATGTTTGAAATTTTGGACGATCGCGGACGGTCGACGTGAACGAGCTGTCTGAGTCCTGCCTAAGTTACACGTCTCTGTTGTCTCTGATACTATGAACGTAGCCAGCCGGCTACGTGGGGATGCATCACACCGTGTGCCTGTTCATATTACACAACACACAAGGCAACATTCATATTATTCGTTTCCTGATCGAACTAATGCGCTAACTCTTTAGTTTTCTTTTCGATTCTAGCCAAGCGTATTGGAAAGTGTTCATTAGCCGATACTGTATATAAATGCTAAAATCAATAAGTGAAATAAAAAAAATTAGTTTAAATGGACATCCACTTCGAAAAAAGTAAATTATTATACTTGAATTTTAAAGGCTGTTGCCACTGGAAAACTATTATCTAGGGCTTGGATGACAGCCATAGGACTCCCTCCTTGAATCGTGTCCATAGGAAAGCATAAGATCATAGTTAAATTATAATATTAAGAGGGTAGGTATTAACTGAAAAAATATGAAAAATTATTACAAACTTACCTCAAAATTGGCACCTACATTAAAATAAGGGAAAACGGAAACATAAAATTGTTATACTTGAATTTTAAAGGCTTTTCCCACTGGAAAAGTATTATCTAGGGCGCAGACCCTTGGATGACAGCCATAGATAGCAATCCCTCCTTGATTCCTCTTTTTCTGAGTTTGTTGTACGTTTTGTTTCCCATATTAAATAAGAAAGCACTTAATACAACAACACAAATCACAATAAATATCGATGAAACAAAATTAATATTAAATTTTGTAGAAGAAAAAAAAATCAAAAAATTATCACTTGTCAACACTGACACTTCACGCTTCACTTATAAAAACTCAACGCTAAAGAATGAAAGATGATTCGAAATCCTAGAGTTTCACTACCATATTACTTCTTGGAAAGTCAAAAATAAGGATTTTGAACAAAAATTACAAATAAATTTGTTAAA